TGGGCTATGTGCGACTTTGAGAGAAGTCTTTAAGGGACGTCACATTTACTCTGTCTATGGCACATCAACGGAGATGTGGAGGCTAAGGTGACGAAGATGTTCGGAAACAAGAAGGTTGGTGTCAGTTTTAGAGCTGGGAGATGGTTCAAAATCGTGAATGAAACAACACAGGCGGAGTATGATCATGCTCTAGCTGCCATGCAAGTGAGGTGGGGAAAATATCCGGCAGTGATTCAGTATGTTCAGAGAACATGGCTTTGTCATAAGGAGAAATTGTGAAATTTTGGACGAACCAGGTTCTTCACTTTGGTAACACCACCAACTGCAGAGTTGAGAGCCAACATTCAGCAGTAAAAACTTGGTTTGAATCATCCACAGGTTAGTTGTATTATTTTATTAGTTGTTATCGTTGTTACGTAATTGTAATTATAATACTGCAAATTAAAATGTATTTACTAATTAGAATCATTGGCAGGTTCTTTGGATACCGTGTGGGCCCGAGTCCATTGTCATATCGATAATCGCATCATACAAATTCGTAATGACTTGGAGGCATCAAGGTCTAAAATTGGTCAGATGTACAAACAGTTGCCACTGTCACGTATAAATGGCAAAGTGTCTCAACATTGCTTGAAAGTAATGGATAACGAGACGAAAAGGATGCGGGATTTGAGTTACCAGGTCCATGAACGGTGTGGATGTGTTATGCGTGTGACCCATGGTCTTCCATGTGCTTGCCAGATACATGATTCGATAGTTGCACAGACAGGATTGTATAGCAGCCAAATTCATTCTTTCTAGAAGACACTGGTTATTGGTGATGGTGTTAACATTCCTGAAGTGGTTAATGATTCGACCGAGGAGGCTGCACATTTTCGGTCCCTAATTGATGAAGTCATGGAAAGTGACTCGGCCGTACGTCGAAATGTAACGCGAATCATTGAAGAGGAGCTACATCCAAATCATTCACACCTTGAAGAACCACATATCAACCTCAACACTCGTGGTAGACCAAAGAAAAATGACACCAGGTGTGATCGTAGCTATTTCGAGCATGTGAACCGTCAACACACTCAACGTGGTGGTGACCCAGATTCAGGTAATATTAAAATTCTATATGTAATATTAAAATATGTAAACTTAATACTTGTAGCTTTACTAATAATTTATCTTTTAATATTGTGTTGTAGATCCAAGTGACATTAGTCAATGCAGGTATTTGAACTTGCTTCCAGCCCCAATGTTGCCGTACATTTCGTCTTGGAAGGATGTCATTGGTGATGGGAACTATGGCTTTCGTTGTGTCGCCGACTTCTTCTTTGGCGATCAAAATCACTGGTTTGACGCTCGAGAAACAATAGCGAACGAGATCGCATGTCATCCTGATTTGTACGAACGGATTTACGGGTTTGGGCGACTTTGGATGAACGTAGAGCGTATTCGATGGGATGGTGGGGCTGTCGGGGAGCGGCATTGGATGGTTATAATTCAAGATTTATTTCCTATTGCTACGTGGTTCAACGCAAGGGTGATTTGTCTCGGGGTAGGCCTAGTACCAACTTGCTACTACCCATGCATCACAGTCTTACCGCTGAGGGAACGCAACGGGGTTCGGTCACCGACTCGAGAGTTTATGATTGCTACAGTTGGTTAAAAACATTTCATCTGTCTTGACCTTGTACCTGATTCACCTCTCCCGCCGATCGCCGGTTGGTGGACGAAACACCACGAGGATAGTGTCAATGGATGGGATCAACAATATCAATTGAGAAGGGACATGTGGGATGCATTAGCTAGGTAGTTTGTAATGTACATTCACTAACTTTGAACATTTGTAAGAAAATTAGAATTATGAAATTAATTTTAAATGTATTTGCTTTTAATCTAACATGATATGCAACAAAACATCAAATATAAAAATAAATAAGTGTCCAGTTTATACATTACATTTTAAAAAAAAAAAGTTCATAACATAACTAAAACCACTAACACAACTTCTAATCAAAATAATCTAAAGTCCCATTTTTTACTTCCAACCAAATATAAGCTGCTCAGTCATTGTTCGAGTCTCACTCGACATTTCAGGATACTCACCCAGTGCTCTTTGGTGAATCTCTATGGACCGACCCATCCGCTGCAAATCAAACAATAACATATTATAAACACAAAAATTCATAAAGTCATTGTTAATATAATAATAAGCATAAATACTTACATAATCAGTGTTAGTCTGCTCAGGCAGGTTGCTTGTAACTCCTGCACCTGGAGATACCCGCGGGTGAGAAAACCTGTACAGCCACTACATGTAACCAGGCGCAACCGAAGGAGCTACAGCGCACTAAGCCTGGTGAGGGCACCTAAAACTACACTCTGAGATACCCCAGGGACAAACCTCTTCCACATCACATCTGTCATCTCGGTCGGGAAGTCTACCCGATACATCTTCAAGTTAGTCGGCCTCTTGGCCTTCTCTGGCCTGATGATCTCGCGGGGAATGCCTTGCACGAAACCAAGTTGGCGCACCACTCTATCAGGCATGTACGACTCAATGATGTTACGGTACTGGATGCAACCAATGAATAAAGTGGGGGGCACTCGTAATGAGGATCAACTCCGTACGGTAGCCAGTTCACCTCACGGTCAGTAAGCGCATCAATTCTAGTACGAAAAGCTAACAGGCGCTCCAGGTTCTTGCTAGGACATCCCGCTCCAACATCCCAAGCAGACGCACGAGGCATTTGAAGGTCCCGGGTCAAGGTACCCTGCTGTGGCCGAAAGCACGGAAAGTACTCGTAAATCCACGCTTGCAAAAGCATGAGACAACCAGCAATCGAATCAGCACCTTTTCGTGATGTCGTGCCCAATTGCCAATACAAGTAGGCCAGTGCAGCTGTTCCCCAAGCATACTCGTTAATAGGGACATCCATGTAACATAGCTCGTGGAGGAAGGAAGGATGCGTACGGTTACCACTCTTGTCTAAGCTACAAACAGTGTACCTCCAAGCACTAACCACAAGTATCCATCAAGCTGATCACTAAACTCCCGGTCAACCGCCAATGTCGACTCAAAAATCTTATCAGTCAACACCCCACTACCCTGCCAAATGGTCTTTGTGCCGCAAATCTCAGACAGATCATCTGGAGTCATATCCATGGTGATCGAGCACGCATCCCGTAACACGTTCGTGCTAGGAGTAGTGGTGACCATATTGCCTGCTACCCGTAACCCAAGTATGTTGTACACGTCGTGCAACAAGATCGTAATCTCCCCAAATGGCATGTGAAAGGTGTTCGTATCTGGCTGCCACCTCTCAACAAAAGCATAAATCAACGGCCAATCAATTCTCTTAAACATCAGGTCGGGCAAGTGAGACAATCAACTAGCATCAATCGCCGCGAGGTCCTCCACAGATTGACGACCTCGCCAAGTGAACAAGTCAGAACATAACTTTGTCCTACTCAAACAGCGCAAAACACTACGCTCCTGCTCCATCCAGATATATCGTGCCACGTGACCGCCAAAACTAGGGATAACTGACCCATCCTCAGGCCCACCCAGCATCGGTTCCTGCACTAACCATGCCTCTGCAGAGCTGAAAGTAGGCTGACTCGATCCACTACCAACAAATCTCCCAAACTGACCCCTATATACCATATGGTAATCCTGAGGATCCTGTTCTTCATCCCGGTCACCAGCATGACTAGCCGAACATTCGTCTTCCTCGTCAGATATGGGTGCTCCACTTGCAGAGTACAAGGGCCGACTACTACCAGACTGTTGGTCTCCCGACCAACCACTAGTAGACCCATATTGCTGCTGCTCGGGCTGAAGCGGTGCTGAACGAGATGTCTCTCCTAACAGACGCATTCAGACGTCGTGATATTGCATGTCGAGCACCAGAACCCTCGATCTACATAAAATAAGAAAATAATCCGATTTTAGTAATAATAATAATAATAATAATAATAATAATAATAATAAACAATAATCAAAACAACAACACCAACAATCATAATCGTAATAACAACAACAAAAAAAAATTAAAATTAACAACAACAACAACAAGAACCATAGAAGGCCAAGAATAACAACAACAACAACAACAAATAAAATAAAAAACAACAACAATAACCATAATAACAATAATAACAACAACAACAACAACAACAACAACAACAACAACAACAACAACAACAAATACAAATTAACAACAACAACAATAACCATAATAACAATAATAATAACACTAATATCAACAACAATAATACTAATCATAATTAAAAATATTAATAATAGTACTACTAATAACAATAATAATAATATTATTATAACAACAACAACAACAACAACAACAACAACAACAACAACAACAACAACAACAAATAAATTAAACAACAACAATAACCATAAAAACCCTAATATCAAATTAGTTTAATAATAATACTAATCATATTTTTAAAAATAATAACACTACAAAATATGCTAACCATAATAATAACAACAACAACAACAACAACAATAATAATAATAATATCAACAATAATAATAACAATAATAATTATAATAATACTAACCATAACACTTCAAAATAATAACAAAAATAACAAAATCCAAAAAAAATAAAAAATAAATTAACAACAACAACAATAACCATAATAACAATAATAATAAAAACCCTAATATCAAAAAAAAATAAAAATTATCATATTTTTAAAAATAATAACACTACAAAATATACTAACCATAATAATAACAACAATAATAATAATAATATCAACAATAATAATAACAATAATAATAATAATAACCATAACACTTCAAAATAACAACAAAAATAACAAAATCCAAAAAAAATAAATAAATTAAAATTAACAATAAATAATTACAAAACCATATTATTAACGGGAAAAAAAAACAAAAAAAAAAAATTTTGAACTTCCGCCCAAAAAATCCGGAAGTTCCAAGGAGGATCCGGAAATTTCAGGCGGATCCTCCATGGAACTTCCGGATTTTTTGGGCGGAAGTTCCACGATCCATAATTAAAAAAAAAATTTACCTACTCGCCTGCGTCGCCGCCGCCACCTCCGCTGCCTCCACCGCCGCCAAAGCTCCTCCCTCCGAATTTCAGCCTTATCCGCCTTGAATCACCCATTTTTTTTTGTGTTTTTGATGATTGTTTTTTTTTTTTAAAAATGAAGAAAAAAATTTGGATTTTTTTTTTGTTTCAGATTTTAAGAGTGTTTTAGAGAGTTAGAGAGTAAGAGAGTTAGAGAGAGAAGTAAGAAAGTGAGAAATGTTGGTCGGGAAGTGAAAAAAACCGTATTTAAATATTAGGGGTAAAATTGAAATTTCAAATAAAAAAGGGAGCGTTACCGGTAGAATGGGAGCGACGAATAATAACACCCTTCCTTTTTCTCGATGCAAACACGTCAAACCTGTCTTTTCCACGAATTTGCCTTATCCATCCAACACAATTCCTCCCTCAAAATGAGATGCAAGTTATGCTACCAACTCCATTTCTTGCACAACTTTAGAACAATCATTTTCCCAAAGCTTTCCAACAATGGCGGCAACACTCTTTCTCTACCCTATTGCTGATTCTCATCTTCACCCCACTTTCCAATCAAAATTCACTCCCAAATCAAAGCTCCAACCCCTCTTTCTCTCTCTTCCAAAAAGATCTAAACAATCCAATTTCAACTCCCAATTCACTCGCTTCTCCACCTCTTCTTCCTCCTCTGATCATCCTTCATCTTCACCCCAAACTTCCATTGCGTACAACACCCAAAACCCACTAAAATTTAGCCGTTTTTTAACGGATAACGAGCTCCAAAAACTTCAATTTCTTGAAAATTACACTTATTCTTGCAAATTGCCATCTGGGTATTTGAGTATTAGGGTTATGAAGGATATGGAGCTTAATATTGTTGTTGAATTGCTTGCAGAAGCATTTGCCGAGTCCATGTTTTTGCCTAATATGTACTTAACTGTGTTGGGTTTTTTGATTAAGCAGTATTTGATTGAGAGGAGGGGTTTGATGCCTCATTGTGTTACCCTAATCGGATTTTTTCGAGTCGAAGAAGGGAATGTTGATGTTGATGGTGAAGGTAGAAAAGATGAATTAGCTGGAACAGTGGAAGTGTCCTTTTCCTTTGATAGAAGGGGTGCTAATTCTTCACCTCCTACGCCAACCCCACCTAAAGATTGCCCTTACATATGTAATATGACCGTGAAAGACCGCCTTCGAAGGTGAAATTCTTCATTCTCTGATTTATAGTGTAGGTATTTCATATACAACTTACATTTTCTAGAATTGTTGGTTATCTTGAATTCTTGATGCATATATACTTTGCCTATGGAAGTGAGTGTACACGCTTATGTGAATTTTGAGGACATTATGTTTAGATTGTTTACAACATTGGCGCGGCCTATTATATACTGTAAAATTGATCTAATGCTTCGAATTATGATTGGGATTGAAATGATCTTTGCTGTGCAAATTGCTTTCATATGCTATTAGTCTTATTTTTGGCTTAGAGATTGTCGCAAATTGACATTTTCATTATTGGATAGAAATGGTTATCTTCTTCATACATGTCTGTATATGTAAATTAAGCAAGTTAAAAGTATCTCAAAAATTGGGCGTTTGTATAAAATAAGCAGCGTGAAGGTGCTATCATAACCTTCATATAACAAAAAGGCAATATTATATAACTAAAAAGCTAAGTAAAGGCAACATCAATTCTTTTTGAAAAGTTAAGGACCTTATAATTTGAGGCTCTATTCTTAGTAAAATATGACGTTGATTTTCTTTGGAGTCTCTACTATCAGGGTGTACTTTTGCGCTTGGATAGGAAGTAGGAACCAGGATGAGGTGATGAGCATGATCATTTCTTTGGTTTAAGCATCACATTTCTGTCCTGTTACTTTTGGTGCTTTCTTTTGAATTTGTACTGCGGGCTTTAGAGGAAGGTGCCTGAATTGAATTTAACTACTGTTAAAAAAGCATAAATTACAAGACATTTGCAAAGCACAACAGGGAACTACTGATAAAAAGAACCATAAATATTGGCATGAGATATTTTGCTTTGAAAAAAATACGAAGTATATGTTAATGCATAACCATTATGACCGTTTGCAATTGCTGAATTGATGCTGGCTCAAATGTCTACTTATGATGCTTATAGATGCTTTTTTTTTTCTTTTTAATTAATAGGCCAAATTAGAAAATAACACCTGCAAAAAGACCCGATTTTGTTTATAACACCTTAACATTTCGAAATTTTATTATAACACCTACAAAAATCCCAAAATTTTGGTTTCACCACCCACTAACGGATTTTTGGATGGAAACCGTTAGTGGGACCCACTAGGGACACGTGTCAGTTGTTTATTGGCTTAAAAATAAAAATTAATAAAAAAAAAACCCAAAATTTTTATTTTTAAGCCAATAAACAACTGACACGTGTCCCTAGTGGGTCCCACTAACGGTTTCCATCCAAAAATCCGTTAGTGGGTGGTGAAACCAAAATTTTGGGATTTTTGTAGGTGTTATAATAAAATTTCGAAATGTTAAGGTGTTATAAACAAAATCGGGTCTTTTTGCAGGTGTTATTTTCTAATTAAGCCTAATTAATATTCTCAATGATGAAGAGGTGTTTCACTTGTAGCATCTCTCTTAGTTGATGACAAACACGTGCAAATAATTGTAGCTGTGTCTTCATTTAAAGTTCTGCACTTTTGCGTATAGATTTTTTACTTCGCATGTAATTTCTCAGATACTTTATCTTGACCTGCTGCCTTAACATGAATGTTAGCCATCTTCTGTTGGATGCTTGAATTTTCAATGTTTGAGAAACTGTCACAAATTATCTGCTATCTGAATGCCAATATCATTAAAGTGGAGTTGCAACTTGCTAGATATACACATTTCTATGCGATATTGAAAATTGATGTGCATTATTAGTGATTGGCTGAGTTAGGAATAAAGTATTGATGTTATTTGTTCCAGGAGGGGCATTGGTTGGCATCTTTTGAAGGCAAGTGAGGAACTAATATCAAACATGAGCACCTCAAGAAATGTCTACTTGCATTGTAGAATGATTGATTCAGCACCGTTTAACATGTATAAGAAGGCAGGATACACCATTGCCAAGACAGACAGTTTCTTAGTCCTACTCTCCCTACAAAGACGGAAACATTTGATGTGTAAGGAGCTTCCTGCTTTGAGCAAGCCCTTGGAGACAATCGTTGCAGGGGATGGAGAAGAAGACCCCTCTTTAAATGATGGGGGAGAATCAGAACCTTTATTGTTCGATGAGGTAATGATACTCTTCTGAACTTGGGAATGAGATAGTCAGGATTGATCCGATTCTTGTTCTCTCTTCTCTCTCTCTCACACACACCACCAGGCACCAGCGCACCTGGCTACCAGATGGGGACTTGTGTGTATGTTCTGTGCTCAAGTCTACTGATTCATTATGATTTGTGCTCATGACTGAACCTGCTCATTTTTTGGTCAATTTCAGATCTATATTATTCTTTGTGTGTTGGGCTTTCTGATGAAATAATCCTGTACTTAAACAAACATGGAAGACATACCATCCGATTCATTCTTATAGAAATTTTCCTACCTCTAATTTTTCACTGCCATGAGTTAAATAACATGTGGGTGGGAACGAATAAATTGTTATCCCCACGGCTTGAAAATGCTAAAGAAACACCGATCACTTCTCCTTGATCTTACTTTGAAAAGGATAGAGTTTTCTTTGGCATCATACGACCACTTGAAAGTGTTGAGACACTATACCTTCGCACACAAACCTTTTTTGTGTAGCCTTTTTAATATTCTCCCTGTGGTGCTGTAGATCTGTGATACGGGTTAATAACCTTGTCTTGCACAATTGATTGTATATACATCATAGCTCTTTATGACCTTATTCCAAAAAAAATACTATGATTCTCAACACGACTAATCAATTTCATGAATCGACTTTTATTGCACTTCAGGTTTTGCAGAGCTCTCTTGATATGGATGGATGAATTTCAGCTTTTGGTGAGTATGAATGTTACTTACAAATACAATTACAATCTGTTCATATTGTGCACAAATATGTATATATGAGTATATGTATTTTTTACTGCCCCCAGAAATACCCTCGTACAAGAGAGAATAAAGATGTTACTTCTGAATTGGGTTTATTAAGAGTTGATGCTTACTGTGCAAAGCTGGAAATTATTCTGTTTCACATGAACTCAAAAGTACATGATGCATGTATCATAAATACTAATAAGACTAGTACACTTTTATACCCACACCAAGAAATACAAAAGAGAGCCCCCCCTTCCCCCCTGTTTGCGAGGGAGTAGGGACACAAAAGCAATGAAACCTATAGTTTTTTCCCATCAAGGAACTTCTGTCTCCTAACCTAGACAACCCGAATCTTATAAGCTTGGGAATTTCCAGATGAAATGAATTATTTGAACAAATTTGGGCCATTCCTATGAGAGAAGCATGTTGGCAATTTAGATCATTCGTAGTGTATGTAGAGCCATACCTAAGCCTTTGGAATTTGTATGGAAAATCAGTTGGAGCTCATTAACACACTCTGACATGGTTGGTCTTTCAGTACTATCGATTCTTACACAACGTGATGCTAAATTTGCAAACATAGCTATAGATTCCATTGTGTAAGAGTTCCGTGGTAGCTCAGGATCTATAATTTTCCGCAGCTTCTTTCGGTCATTCAGCATGTTTCTGGCCTGAAACATTTTGTTGTATTTAGATGTCATTTGTCAGCAATACATTTCCAAGGAGTTGTATATTGTGAATTTATCGTAAGATTTGTAACATACCTGTAATACTAGGTTTTGATCTGTTGGTCCCTGGTTTAAATTGACCGCTTTACGGCCTGTCAAAAGCTCAAGAAGCACTACCCCAAATGCATAAACATCACTTTGTAGAGTCAGTCTTCCTGTCTGTTACCAGTATAGCATCTCATTAGGATCATTCTTATCACCTGATGCAATAAGTTTGTAGATAGATGATGAAGCATATGAAAGAGGACCTATCATTCCAATATGCAATTCAATCTCTTTCAAGGATTGACAATACTGCATGAATAATTTGACATTGGACTAGAAATGGCAAGTTCAATAAAATTGATTTTGTTTTTTTGGGTGCTAGCTAAACTAGCCGGAGAATTCTCCAGGGGTTTAACCTTAGACCTGGGTTCAAAACAAGATCCAAATGTTAGAATTCATTCTGTGTGGCTTATTTATTTATTTATTTTTTGATGGAATTCCTTATGCTTTCTTATAAAACCAACATATAAAAGATGGGGGTATTTTTATTGAAGGATGAGGGTGGGGTTATCTTGGCTTTTGGAGGCTTATCAAGTGTCCGTCAACCTCAAGGTTATGGAGCTGGTTTATGTTCATGTCAGTTATAACTAGAATGTAGAGTTAGTCAAGATTTGCTTGAGATTAAAATAGCTATTCTTGCTCCTAGCTGTGTTCACGACTTGAGGATGCTGATTCTTGGTCTGTGTCCACGACTTGAGGATGCTGTTTCTTTTAAACGTACCCAAGATTAATGCATCTGGATTGTTATTATTATGATATGGTAGCTTTTAACATTTTTTTATGTTAAATCATCCCCTCCCCAATAGTATAACATAAAACAAAGAAAAGAAAGGACTGAGAGATTGAGATAGGAAAGCTGAATGTAGATTATAAGACTGTCAAATACAGTTCTTATATAGTTATATGGATGCTGGAGAAAAAAACTAGCAGCTAAAGCTTTCAGTGAAAAGCATACCGATGTATACTCAGGGTCGAAGTAGCCAAAAGTTCCTAGTACATTTACTGTTGCATAAGTTTCTTGACCCTCTGGCATCAACTTTGCAAGTCCAAAATCTGATATCTGTTCAAAAGCCACTGTTCGATTAACAAATTGCTCAGCAATACAAGCAGCTTTGTGGGTTGGATTTTTTACCTTCGCATCAAAGTTGGTGCTTAAAAGAATGTTGGTGGATTTGAGATCTCTATGGATGATAGGTATACCAACTGCTGAACTTGAATGCAGATAAGCAAGCCCCCTTGCTGCCCCTAGTGCCACTTTGAGCCTTGTTGACCAATCCATCTTGCGTTCACCTATTTTCAACAAATTGTAATTTAAGTTATTATTTGATTATATTCAAGTGATTTGAGAATTTTATGAATGATCCCTTTTGAATGAAGTAAACTTACTGTTCAAGTGATCCTGTAGGTTGCCATTCTGCATGTATTCATATACAAGGAACCGGTGCTTTCCATCGGCACAATACCCGATTAAGGTAACCAGATTCGGATGGTCCAGTCTGCTCAAGATGTCAACTTCCACCCGAAATTCACGCTCACCTTCTGCTGCTTTAAGTGGTGGCAGCTGCATTTTCTTGATTGCTACAACCTGAGGGATACACAAAGCAACAGCATTCAATCAGAGATTTTATGATGGTAATATATTGGTAATGTTATTTCTTTCACGCTTAACCTCTGTTCATATGAATGAAGCTTGTGAACGACTGAAAGACGGAATTCGGATTCAATCTTGTGCTGTTTTTAACTAATTTACAAGTGTTAGAAAAGAAAAAAGACTCCTTTCCTAAATCCTAACCATACCTCTCCTGATCGAAGAGTTCCTTTGTATACCCATCCAAAACCTCCCTTTCCTATGAAATTCTCTTCGCTGAATGACTTTGTCGCTGCTTCCATCTCCTTGAGGGTGAAAACAGATGATCCTTGGCGTCTTTTTGCAGGTGGGTTCTGTTCCTCAAGTTGCCAATATTCTACAGGTTTGTAAATCCCTGAAAAAGTTTCACATTTTATCATAAATTACATGATTAGCATCTATCATTTCAATGATTAGAATCCACTTTTTGCCAGTTTCTATTGTAACTTAAAAAAGTACACAATGAAGAGCTAGGATGCATTACAAGATTCACCCTGGTCCTGAGATTTGCTCCTCCTCCGTTTGTTCCATGCTGAAACCAAGCCAAAGGGCATTATGGGAACACTAATTAGCCTTGTAGAACAAAGCTACTTCTTTGTGTGCTGGATTACGTTGATAAAACCGAACAAGATTTGATTTACCATACAAGAGATAGAAGAACAACCGGCAGGCCAGCGAACTAAATTATGCAAGTATGAGTTGAGGAATCCTTAAGAGGAGTACATAGAGAGGAAGTAAAAACTTGGTTTGAAGAATACTCCATTACACTAACCTTCCAACAACCTTTGAGATTTTAGAGAGAGAAAGTGAGATAGAGAGTACTTTAAGGAAAAGAAAAAGCAAGAGTCTCAGGAGTCAGGAGTAGGGGTTGGTTTGATAGTGAGATAGAAGCTTAAGTCTCTTTTATTTTCTATTTTTTTTCCTGTAACTGTTTCTCTTGAAAGAGTGAAAAAATGGTCTGAGCTGTTGAGATGGCATTTTCATGAAAAATCTAAATAAATTTGTCTAAACATTATTATTTCCTTCCATAATTTCCATAGTTTTAGTGCCTTTATTCCTTTTAAGCTGCAATCATCAACTTTTGATTATATATATATATATATATATATATATATATTTTTTTTTTTTTTTTTTTGGGGGGTGGGGGGGTGGGATTGCTTAGTTGTGCCACATTAATATATTTTTGAGCCTACCACAATTATATTTTGTATTGATCCACGTTTATTTAAGTGCTTTCCTGACTAGCAAAAAGTGCAAAATATCTCCTTTTGGAATCAATTAATTTCTCTTTTTTTCCCTTTTTTTTTTGTCTAAGCAAAAGTTATGACATGATTGATCTAGATTTGGAATTACACTGTGCGGAGAAATGATGGATTAATCATATTCAATTATTTTTACTAGGGATGGGATGAATACAATATCTGAATAAAAATAAGAAATAGGAAAAAGTAGAAAAATTTCGGTAAATGATCAAAGACAGAATTTACTCCCTCACACATTAATTTTTGCTTTATCTGGTGTCATAATTATAGATAATGAGACATAAGATGAGACGTAATATGAGATGGAGGATCTCTACGGAGATCTAGCGACCAATTTCAACGCTTGTAGTAAGCATGGAAGGACCACTGCTAGAGCTATCTGATGGCATCGTGGGCACCTGATAAATTGGAACAGGCATCTTAGGTGGAAGACTAGGCATGATAGTCTCAAAGTTGAGAACTTGAATTGCTTGCTTTATTGATGGCCTGTGATTGTAGTCAGGATAGGCACACCACAAACCAAGGAGCATCAAACACTCGATTTGTTTAGCGTCAAATTCCATGTGATTAAGCTTTTGATCAGTGGCTAAATGAAGCTCACCATTGCCATAAAGATCCCACACCCACTGTACTAATCCCTTTCCTTGATGTGTTCCTGCCTCTATGAGATCGGTTGACCTCCTTCCGGTGGCAATCTCCAATGCCACCACGCCGAAACTGTATACATCTGGTTCTTTGCTTGCCTTTCCTGTACTCAAGTACTCAGGGGCCATGTACCCGAAAGTCCCTGCTAGAGTTATCGTCTGAGCACTATGTCCATGTTGCATAAGTGTTGCTAAACCAAAGTCCCCAAGCTTGACATTGAAATTAGAATCTAGCATTATATTGCTGGATTTTTGTCGCGACGTACGACACACTGCTCCCACTCCTCATGTAGATAAAACAATCCAGATGCTAATCCAAGAGCTATGTTGTACCACGCAGGCCAAGATAGAGGAGGCTTGTTACCAAATAGGTGACAATCCAAGCTACCGTTTGGCATATACTCATAAACAAGTAGGAAATCACCTTTATCATGGCACCAACCTATAAGCTGCACCAGGTTCCTACACCTTAGCCTGCTAATAATTTTAACCTCGGTACTGTACTCTTTTTTCCCCTGTCTACCGCCCCTAGAGAATTTTTTCACTGCGATTAGCATATCCAAGCCCTTGTAAATGCCTCCAAATCCTCCTTCACCCAACTTTCGTTCATTAGAGAAATTTTGTGTGGCTGATTCAAGCTCAACGTATGAAAACCTTCTCGGTCCAGCGCCCCTCTCGAGTTCCTCATTGAATGAGGTATCCTCTGCATGTTCTAGACTAGGAATCTTCCTCTTCCGACATAGAAAGAATAGCACTATTATCCCTCCCAAGATAAAAAGAAAAATACCTAAAGATACAAGAATCAACCCCAACTTATTAAACTTGACTTTTATTTGTAAATCATTATTATTGTTCTTCCTCAAGCCCTCGTCCTCAGTTATATTCAAGCTAGAATAGAACTCCCATGATTCGAGTATATGTCGCTCTGCAAACTGCCCAGTAGCAGCTGAAAATCCGATGCTAACCCATTCAGGGATGACCTGCATCAGATCAATAGGGTAAGAAAGAAAATTTTTAGGCTCATTTGAGTACGACCAATACACACTCAAATTCTTTGTAGTGGCATTGTAAATGATCGAAACATCAGCAGAAACACCACTATGTTGAGTAGCATTCCAACGCTTAGTTACAGCTGATTCAATGGAGTTAATGTTGATACCAACATGCTCATATGATGAATCCCATTCAGGATTTGAGAACGAATCAAACTCGACAACTATCATCTTGTTGCTCGAGGAATGAGATGTTGTAGTGTTAAACAGCCCCAGAAACCCCCCAGCCGAGTTGGGGGGAATTTGAAAACCAGCAGGAGCAATGAAAAATGTCAACCCATGACCATATTTACCTAAGGGTTTCTCTAAAGTGTCAATAACAAAGGTAAAATTGGTTGAAAAATCTGAAATATTTTTTGTATTTTTATCCCAAAGACACTTTTTCAGCATAGGTAATTAATCCAACGCGGTTTATGTAATCAACCATGTTAAACTCCACTGATTGTACGGAGTATACCGCATCCCCTTGGTAATGTATGCTTGTTAAAAGCGGGTCGAACCGAGGAATTTTGAAGGATATTGAGTTAGCAGTGGGGATAAGAGAAAGAGGAAGGCAAAGTAGGGCAAACATTACAAGAGTAAAGTATGTAGCCATTTAGTTAAGAGTTCATGAACAAGCTACAAACTCTACCAGTTAAAATTGAAAAGATGAAATTAGTGATCCGAGCCAATGTTATGAATCAATAAAATTCATTGAAATAGTACATAAGTACGAATCATTCTAGGATTATGCCCCTTGTTAACGTTTGACTAGTATGGAGTATATCATAGTCCTATGAAACTGTCGTACTTCTTCTGTTTTTATTTTAATTATGGAGTATAACTTTGTACACTATTTACATGTTTCATATATATTCGTGAGATATATAATATTTTAAAATTAAAAAGGGATACTAAGTATAATATAGTAAATAAAAACGCAAATCATCAAAAATATTTGTCTCATCCTCCTTTGATCTCTTACCCCCCCCCCCCCCTCTTTTTTTCACATAACTCATGACTTAATATCTTTATGAGTATGGTTATTCAACCGCTCGTGCAATGCACGGATCAAAGGCTATTGAATGTATGAAAACGTCAACGTGACAAAAAAAAAAAAAAACGTATATTGCCTTTTCATTCATGTATGCCTTCAACAATGTAGAACGTGAAGTACACTTAACAATTATATTAGCTAATGTACAGTATAATCAGTAATGTTTTTATGTTTATTTAACTTCTTGCATTCACTAATCTAGGTGGTTTGACAACAAATATCAAGTGACTTGGTAAAACTATATTATCCTCTTTAAGTCAATATGGTGTTTTATTTATGTTTTCTCCTTAAGGTCCAATATGCACTTGTTGTCCCTTCTCTCCTCATTTCCTCAAGTCATATCAATACATCTTAGCTGCACCCTAGTGGAGCTAAGATAGCTGCAACTAGGGCTGTTCATCGGTCCAAGACCGGACCGGATAAGACTGAAGACCGAAAATTAGAATTTTAAGAACCGAAGACCGGACCGATTAAGACCGAACCCGGACCGGACCGAAAGAATTGGTCCAAAACCCGAACCGGACCGTTTTGGACTGATTTAAGAATTTTTTTTAAAAGAATATTAATTTTTAATAAATTCAAGGAAAAAAAAAATTGGAAAAACTATATTGTAATGACATTTTTGCGTCTTTTTTGTATGTTTAGTGCAAAAAAACTTATAAAGTTAAAGTATTCTAAGCTTATTAAGGATAAATTTAAACGTTATTTAAGGTTTCACACATATTTTTTATAAAAAAATTGGTCCGGTCTAAAACCGGTTTTTATAGGGTTTTGGACCGGACCGGATCGAAGACCGGAAAAATGAATTTCAAGACCCGAAGACCGGACCAATTAATTCGGTCTGGTCCGGTCCGGGGTGGTCCGGTCCATTTTTTCGGTCCGGACCGATTTATGAACACCCCTAGCTGCAACATGTCATATAATCTAAACATTTAGTTAAAAAAAACATATAAATAAAATGAACATTTAATAATAAAAAATAAACACGTACATAAATGCATCATTAGTACTAAATAGTGAAAATGTTTATTAAAAAAATGTTCACTTAGTATATTAAAAATGAATAACATTATCCTATAATCAAATAATTGTTGAACCACAACCTTAAAAATGAACATTTAGTAAAAAAAATTGTAGACACATCAAAAAATGAATATTTCGTAATAAAAAAAAATGAACACGTAATATGGACATTAAATTAAAATATAAAATAGTGAACACATAAAAAAAAAAGAACATTTAGCATGTTAAAAATGAACATTAATCATATAATCATAGAATAGCTTACAATACCCAATAAAATGAACGTGAACACATTAGATAAATTGAACATCAAGTATAAGAATGAACAAGTAAAATTATGAACACGTCAAAATAAATTATGAACATTTAATATATTAAAAATGAACATGATTTTCATATCCATAGGTCCAATTTCATTGTATACAATGATTAATGAAAAATAAAAATATACAAAATAAATCGTTAAAATAAGTTCATTTTTTTATTTACTAAATATTCATTTTTATTGTACCAAATATTAATTTTGTCTAAATGTTCAATTTTAAAGTACAACGTGTTCATATTTTTTTACAGAAATTAAACACAAGTTTGTTGTAATTATTTTAACTCTTAAAGTTTTAATATCCACCTTAAATTTAATCTTAATTCATCATAATAACAATAATTGTCGGTCTATAGCATGATAAATTAGGAATTACAAGTACAAAATTAATAGATTTCATTAATTATATATATATATATTTAAAATTAAAAAAACCTCAAAATCACCTTTCGATTCAGACCACGACGATGATGACGACGATAGAGATTGCTACAATGGTGACAAAATTGGAAAGTACTCAAAGTAGAAGAACAAAGAAGTTTAATGATTGAAGGAAGGTGAGGTAAGAAAGAAATTTAATAACTTTAAGGAAAAGTAAAAACAAAAAAGAGGAGAGAGAAAATTTTGAGATGAGAGAAGAGATAGTTAAGATATAAAGAAAGGGAAAAAAAACATATGTTCATTTTAAAACACTGCATGTTCATACACATGGTTGGTGTGGCTAGCTTAGCTGCACTAGTAGGTAGCTAAGAATTTGTGAAGTCATATGACCCGATCAAACGATGTTAGAACTCAGAAGGATTCAAACCCATTTTATTATTTGGCTTAAATATTTACTAATATTGTTCTTTCAAGCATGACCCAATGATATGGGGTTCACTTAGAGGTTGTTAGGTTTCTTCAAAGGCCATTTAAAAAAGTTTTTTTTTCCCAAAAAAGAAAAATCAAACCTATACTTAGCTTATACGGAATACCAAGTATATCAGAAAGCTTTCCTAATAAAGCTTGTATGTCACGTGTATCTTTCTTGCTATATTATTGTGCCATGTCATCACTTAGTGGCCCATGTCAATATAACACGTGTTCCCTTCTTGTACTAGCATTGTGTCAAGTCACCACTACTCAATATCCCATGTCAACGTTAACTTGAATGAAAACCACACTTCTTCTTGCCATCATAGCTAGCAACAATTTATGCTATATTCATATACATAAATATATTTAAATGTAGAATAAAAAAGCATCCAAAATAAAATAATAAAATCATAACACTCTTTAAATTATTTTCGCTATTCAGCATTATAATTCAAATGTATTATACAAGGTATTGAAAACAACTTTGTTAAGGTCTGTTCACTTCAGCTTAATGTCAGTTCAGTTCAGTCCTGTTCAGTACAGTTCAGCTCTAATCAGTTCAGTTTAGTTTAATTAAGCTCAAATCAATTTAGTTTAGCTCCTTATTTCCTTCTCTCATAAAATATTCATTTCATCTTTATACACTTCAGCTCCAATCAGTTCAGTTCAGTTCAGTTTAGTAAATGTAAACATACCCTAATTCATCATTCTTACCTATATGTTAATTTCATCACAAAACCCTTTATAAGTAGGGAAATTATTAAAGTAACTTCTCGAAACAATGCCCGAGCAACATATTAGTTGTAATGTCTAAAACCTGCCTTAGGGTCTGTTCATATTTACTGAACTGAACTGAACTAAATAGAGCTGAAATGAATATTTTATGAGAGAAGGAAATTAGGAGCTGAACCAAACTGAACTGATTGAAGATGAATTGAACTGAATTGAAATTAAGATGAAGTGAACATTCCTTTATTTTTATGATTGATTATCTTTTCCATGTAATCATTTCTTTTACCTTTTCCATGTAAATATGTAATTATTTATTCTTATGACCATTGAATTACATTTCTCTAGAGAATTCTATATCTTATTTATTACTCCCTCCGTTACTTGCTTCATTTTTTCATGCATTGAGTTTTAAGATAAATTGGAGAAGTAATAAAATATAGAGGTAGTGGGGTTGATTGAAAAATAGAAACAATTGTAAAAAGCAAAAGTAGTTGAGAAAATTGGAAAAGAGAGAACATGAAATTAATAAAATACTTATTATTAATATGTTGGGAGAAATGAATTAAATATTGTAAAAGTTTTACAAATAAGGAATGGAACAAGTAATTAAAAACAGCCGAAAATGAAAAGTAAAGCAAGTAATTTAAAACAGAGGGAGTATTTAACAATAAGTCTTAGCTACATCCTTTTGCGGCTAAGATAGCTGCACCAACCCTATAAAATGAACATTTAATAAAAAAAAATATGAATACTTAAAAAATAATGAACATTTAGTAAAAAAAATATGAACATGTAAAAAAAAAAAAGAGCATTCACAAATAACAAAATGAAAACGTAAAAAAAAAAAAAAAAAAAAAAAACACATCTATCTATAACTATTACTAAAGTAGCAACCGCTGATGTAATCTTTTCTCATAGTTGTACACATGTCACTATCTCATGAATAATTTTCCCGCTGAAATGTTAAGCCCATCTATTCATATATCTAAACTATACAGAGTATTAGAGTTCTTTTTGGAGGGAATTTTCCCTCCTAATTAAACTCTATTTTTTCCGATTAGATTTTTGCAGAATTATTGATGTGTCTAGAAACTTTATACTTTAATTAATTATTATTATGGACTTTTAGAGAACATTTTTCATGAGACTTTTATATTTAACTTAATTACCCTCATTAAAAACCGAGCATGGCTCGGGTATTATCTAGTTTAGTACTAAAAATTAAAGTGATCATGTTAAAAAAAAAATGATCATATACTACATTAAACATGAACATGACTATAATCTATAATCATAAAATTGATAGACCACAACCTTAAAATAAACATCTAGTAAAAAAATTATGAACACTTAAAAAAAATGTTATAAAAAAAATGAACATTTAATAATAAAAAGTGAACACGTCAAAATAGAAATATGAACATTTAGTATATTAAATATGAACATTTATCATACTCTGTATAAGAATTGAATAGCTGGATCATACCTAATAAAATGAACATTTCATAAAAATATATGAACACTAAATAAAATGAACATTTAATAAAAAAAAAACGAAAAAAATGAACACCTTGTATATTCAAAATGAACATGATTTTTATATGTTCATATTATAAAATAAATAAATAAATAAATAATGAGCAAGAGGCCTATAACTCAGTGGAGCTAAGCTTCAGTTCCCGTGGTAGTGACCCAGGTTTAGGAATCACAAATGCAAAATTAATAGAAATCAACAATTTTGTATAAGTAATAATACATATTTATAAACCAAAAAAAAAAAACTCAAATTCACATCAAGATTTACAATTTTCACGAAGCGGATGACAATGAACAATGCTACAATGGTGACGAATTGGAGGATATCAGAATTAATAGGACAAACAGGTGGAAAGGTTGAAGAAATTTAACTTATAAGAAAAGGAAAAAAAAGAAAAGAGAGAAAATTTCAAATGGAGAAGAAAAGAGGAGAAAATTAATAGAGATAAAAAGGAGAGAGAGATAGAGTTAAGATAAAAAGGAATGGGAAAAAAAATGTATGTTTATTTTTTAAGTATTATATGTTGATATATATATAATATATAGCTGTTGGAGTTAAGAATTTTCAAAAATTTAATTCTAACAATCGAATATGGCCAGGAAATTATCTAAATACGGATTATCGAAAACTATAGCCCATACTGTTGGGTCAGCCCTAGAATAATCGCAATGGGCTTCTCAACTATTGATTGTAGATTTGTCATTTGTAGGTGCAATCAATAATAAAAAGAGAAGCCTATACCGAGTGCCTACTGCCGCCCATCTTATTTTATTTTTTATTTTTTTATTTTTTATTTTTTTATTTTTTATTTTTTTATTTTATTTTTTATTTTTTTATTATTATTTTTTTTAATACCAGCTAACAAACTATTTACAGCTACAAATTCAAGATTTGGATGGGCTCCACAAGTTGGCTCCACTTTTACTACTAGCCATCTGTAAGATTGTTGGATGTTGGAGGGTGGTGGTTTTTAGTTTATTCCCAAACCCCAATCTCATTTTAAGGAGTTTCTGACTCCTTGATTCGAGATATCCGATTTGTGTCTAAACTCGATATTGTGATATCCCAATATAACTATTTGATTATCATAAAGTTGATTGAGAATAGACAAATATATATGAATTCAAATAGAATAAAATAACAAAAAAGATACCTTAAAAAATGAATCATCACCTGAATATGACCTAATCTATATTAAATTGATATAAATTCAATTGAACCTTGATCAAAGCTTTGTTTTTACTTTTTTTTTTTCTTATCATGTTTAAATTTAACCTCATTGATCGTCCCCTTAAAGATCAAAGTAAACAATGGTTCTAATTGCTAGCCATGAATTGGGTTTCAATGATTCAAAGTTGTAACTAGCTAGTTTGGTCCTCAATCTCTCTCCATCTTATTAGGGTTGTTTCATATTTCAACATGTAAAACATAATAAACTCACCATCCAAAAATTTATTAATTAATTCCATACACATTTTGAGGGCTAATAAGTATTGTGTACTTAGTTAGGTACTTAGCTAATTAAAGCATGTTCCAATCCCCCATCACTCTCAAATATTATCAAACTAACCATTAATTCAGTCACAAATGAAGCAATTTACCATCCTATAATTCAAATATCATTATCATCATCATAGTACATGATGCATTATTAATGCTCACCCATAATTTATATAGGACCAACACCAAATTAAATAACACCACCAAAAAGAGTGGGACAATTAATTTATGTAAATTTAAATGTTATAAAACAGTTGAACCACTTGCTAGCCTCTAAATTTAAAGCCACTCCAAAACTTTTTTCCTATATAAACTCATATCATGTGACATTAATCTTATATCATTTCCCATCATATCTTTATATTTTATTATTAGAGAGGAAACAATGGCTTCTATTGGAAAGCTTGAGGTAGATGTAGAAGTTAAGAGTAATCCAGAGAAGTTCTGGAACAGCATTAGGGATTCAGACAAGCTCTTTCCTAAGGCATTCCCTGAATTATACAAGAGCATTGAGGTCCTTGAAGGTGATGGTAAGGATGTCGGATCGGTTCGCCTTGTCAAATTTGCTGAAGGTACACTAAACTTTTACCATGATCACAACATGTAACATAATTTTATGTACATGTAGATTATGGCTGTCCTATTAGTTGCTCAGGTTGGTTTCGGGTTGTGTTATAAATTCGGATTTAATTTGGTACATATATTGATGACATTGGGTTTAAATTAATTTATGCACTAGTTATCAAAGTTACAAAAAACATATGTACTATACTAGCTACCTAGTACCAATACACAATGTAGATGTTTCATGTTTGTATTGATTATACAACAATTTTTATCATATTATGCTATTTAATTAATGTCACACACTGACACACATGATGTTGTGTAAGAATATATTAGCAATGTTGGGTATTATTTGTGAGATGTAAAATATTCTAAAGTTGCACATAATATTTAACGGAGGTAGTATATATTATCAACTAAATAAACTAGCTACATCTGCAAATTTGTCTACATTTTACTCTAATCATAATTGTTAATATCCCTTACAATGAAATTTTATAGGAATTCCCCTGATTACTATGTCAAAGGAGAAGGTCGATGTGGTAGACGAAGCGAAGAAGACAGTAGGATACTCTGTAGTTGAAGGCGACATACTAACCTTCTACAAGAGTTTCAAGGCACAACTCGCAGTCGAACCGAAAGATGAAGGAAGCTTGGTGAAATGGTCATGTGAATTCGAGAAGGCCAAAGATGATGCCCCTGACCCTGAAATCATTTTCAAGGCTTTTGCTGTCAAGACTTTCCAAGACCTCGATGCTTATCTTCTTAAGGCCTAATTAACAAATTAACTTATAACTCGATCTCTATATAAAGCTTATGCATTTGGTTCAATTGGTACTACTATTATACTTATTATATACTAAAGTAGTAAATTAAAATGTGCGAAGTTTCAAACTTCCTAGAGTGTAACTTTAATTTGCAATATCAATTAAGCATTATTGTAATGCTAGACTATATGTAAGCATCGAGTTTCATTAATCAATGTTAGTTGGTCGAATGTAATGATTTTATTTCGCCTTCATTTTCTTAACAAGGTTATAATTTCTATATACACGTACTGATTAATTCATGGACAATGTTAGACCCTGTTCACTTCACCTTAAAAAAATATAATATTAAGTAAAAATAATTTCAGTTTAATAAAAATAAGTTTAGTTCAGTAATATTAATGTCAATTCAGTAAAAATAATTTTCAGTTCAATAAAAATAAGTTCAGTTAAGTAAAATTCAGTTATTTTAAAAAAACTTATAATAGAAAATCAATAAAAATATTTTCATTTTAGTAAAATTAATTTTAGTTTAGTAAAAAAAATTTAAGTTTAGCAAATATAATTTTGTTTCACTAAAAATAATTTAAGTTCAGTAAAAATAAGGTGAAGTGAACGGGTCTTACTATAGATTTGCTGTACTATATATATATTAAAAAAATTAAAATAAATTGCTGTAAAAGTTTTTGAGGCAGGGATCCCATTGTAATTATGATTTGAACCAGGTTAACAAGAAAAAATTACATTATTTAAAGGAAATAAAAATAAAATTAATGATAGTAACAAAAAAAAAAAAAAAAAAAAAAACTACTCTTATCATTCAACATTACTCAATAGAGTCAAATAGTCAACAGAAAGAATTGAATGAAGAGGAAATAACACTGTTCTAAATAAAAGAAATTCATTAAACATATATAAGAATATTAATGAATCAGCAACGTAACAAAAGCAGTACTCTACTATTACAATGTACTAATAAAAACACGGATTGAATCTCGTCGACATCATTACTCCATCTTGGATCCGTATAAAATAACTAATTTAACTGCGCTGCAGAAGTGGAAATATCAGACATCATAAGATAACCATTATCATTAACAAACCCAGATACTTGATCACAATACATCGGACGGTCCATCATAGGAAAACTCTGATCATCAACAAATCCTGACCCTTGATTATAGTAAGTGGGACCCATCGTCGAAAAGCCGCATTGCAGAGGAACATAATCAGTAAATCCTGACCCTTGATCACCCATCATAAGAAGCGATTGTAGTGAACAATTATCAGCAAATCCTAACCCTTGATCAACACCATAGTAACTTGAATCGGAACCCATCGTAGGAAGAGATGATTGTAGAGGATAATTATCAACAAATCCTGACCGTTGATCCACATCTTGTAACTTGGAGTAGGACCCATCATATCCATATTGTAAAACATTCTTGTATGATCTTCTACGGTAGGTTTAAAGGAATCATTAAACAACCCGGCATCGAAATCGGACGGCGAAAACACGATGTCATCGAACAAGTTTTGATGTTCTTGTTGATCAATTTCAAAACCCTTAATCACATCAATTCTACGTGTCACAGAATCTAGTTTGTTATCCAAATTACCAAGCAATTGGATTAGTTTTTCTTGTGTAAAATCAGAAAGATTTGTATTCTCAAACCATATATTAGACTTCAAATCTTGATTATTTGACCTAATAAATAAATTCTTCTCTTCATTAAAATCATCTCCTAACACATCACTTAAGTTACTTGACCTTTTCTTGTAATTATCATCCTTAGGGCATGCCTTGTAACGCTTAATTATAGTACGAGTCAACTCCAAGTTTGTTGCATTTTGGGTTTCTTGGTGTTTTTCTTCTCCGTTGTAGGAAAAAAACTTCGGGTTGTACGGATTTCGGGTTATCTTCTTTAGGAGGAAAGACGATAACACACGTTGGGACATCGCACAAGATCGATAGCTCACGAGCTTTCTTGAACAAAGTTTGTTTTTTTAGATGGAAACATGAGCTTCTTTTACTTTTCTTCTCTATGTAAGTGTTTGAGGATTTTGCTCTACCCATATTTGCAAATATTTTGATTGGAAATTAAGACAAGAGATAATGGTAGGTTTATCTAAGTGAAAAGAAGGTATTTATAAAAATAAATAGAAGAGATAGGGTTTAATTTAATTAGGGTACTCCCACTACTATTAGGATAACCCTCTTCCCAAGTAAACTACTTGTACTTCCAAGGTTCTAGTAGAATCTTATTAAACAAGAATCTGTAAATTTGATTTTTGATATCATTTTATATTTATAGACCAATAATCAGTTTTAGAAGTCTGATATTAATGTGTTAATTTGGCCGCACCCAGCTATTCGGGTCTTTAATTAAATTATTACGTATAATGAAACAAAGAGATTATCTTATTTATTTTCTTACTTTAAGTCTATTAGCCAACACCTTCGACACAAGCTTATAAATCACATTGCAAAGACTAATGGGGATATATGTAATAATTTTCTTACATTAAAAAAAATTCATGTCGTATATTTGATTATTCATTGAAATTTTTTGAATAAGGATCTAATAATTACTTATCAATTAAGAATAATACAAGTACAAATAAAGAATTAAAAGGGTTTAATTAGTTGACAGTGAGAGTGAGATTCATGCCCTGAGAACACTCATTAAATAAACCCCCAATAAAATAATGAACTCCAGATTTTTTAAGAGTGATTGAAGAATTTCCATCTGTTGCAGAATATAAAGAATATGTTGAATCACATTTCTTGAATCTCTTAGCATCCACTTCATCTACGCTGTATCCTTCTGCATAATGAAAAACTAATACACCAAAAACAGCCCAATCAATAATATTAATTACATGTAGCATATTAATTGTTCAATTAATTGAACAATAAAAAGTAATTCTTCTATTAATTGTGACGAAAATAATTTATAAATACCAAAAGGTTGAAAAGGGTTGGGTTTAATTTCCTGTTTAAGTATTTTAAATTGGATATAGGGGAGGCGATTCAAGTCAGGTCAAGTGAAGTTTGATTTAAGTTTCCCTAAATATTTTACTTTTTTTTTGTTTAGGGCTTGTTTGGCATCATTTTTGGTTTTCAGTTTTCTGTTTTTTTGAAAACCAAAAACCAAAAACAGGAAACAAGAAAAAGCTGTTTCCACTTTTCTGTTGTCAGTTTTCAAAATAATCATGTTTTTAATTAATTTAAATAATTTTTGATTCATTTGGGACATATATCATATACTTTTAAAAAACAAAAAACCAAAAATTTTAACTTTAATTAGTTGATCAGATAAAATTTTATTGTTCTGCCTGATCGAGTAATCACATACTTCATAATATGTATGTGTAATTTAAGTTATATATAGGTATGTAGTGTATTTCTTTAAACCATTTCACCATGTAATTTAAGAAGCCCAAATCACTTAGCTTATGCTATAAAATCAAGACTTGATTTACCGTTCAACGCAAGACAACATATATATATTCATACTTGCACAAGATCCTAGCCTAATGGTGAAAATTAATGTATTAGATAGATAGATTGCTCCTTTCGAACCCAAAAAAATAAAAAATATAAAAAAAATAAAAAAATTGATAGATTAACTTAGCTTGGAGATTCAAATTAAGTTATCCAAATTATGTCAAGAAAAAAAAACAATTAAATAAATAATTATTAGAGAAATACTAACCAAGAATATCACCCTTGTAAAAAGTTTTTCCTTTAGCCCATTTTGAATAATCATTGCCAGGGCCCCAACCATGGTTGTCTCCAACCGTATAAACCTTGGAAGAAATTACTTGAGCATATCCCAAGTAAATTAAAATCGTAATATATGAAATTGCAATTGTAGATAATTTTTTGTTCATCTCTAACTATTTGAATTTATCTGGAGAATTAATTCAATTTTCATATAATCCAAGGAAAAGTTAGGTTGACTTGCTTATATTCCAACTTTATTATTTTTAAAAATAGTGAACATTAAAAGGGAATGATCATTATATTTTTCCATGAAAGAAAAATTATACTCATGACCTACCATTATTAAGTGAGGTAGGTCTAAGGTTAGGTGATGCCCTTTTAATTGCAATAAGAAAGCGTAACACTATCTTTAAACATGCATGTCATCACTTAATTTAAGTGATCTCAATCTTCTTGTTTTTAAAATTCTTATTAGAACACGCTAAGTTTCATTTTGTCACAACTCACGAGAGTCACGACTCAAACAGGATATAATATTATCATTCTCCAGGCTTTTTAGTATATACAAACTTTTAAAAAAAATCGGGTGTACAATAATTATTGTACATCCACTATAAAGATAGACTAGATTGATTAAAAGTTATCCCTAAAATAAATAAAAGTTACCCTAATATGCATAAAAGTAATCCAATACAAATAAAAATTATTAGTAAAGAATCACATCTTAAATAACTAAAAATCAATTATTAGTGATTAAATATAATTAAATTACCATTATAAAACTTTTCTTATTGTCTATTTATATAAAAATTGTATTACGTTAAAAGTTACCCATAAAAGGCAAAAAGTTACCCTAAAATTAGGTAAAAATTACCCTTATACTGCTCGATGTACAGTAAAATTAGTGTAAACCGGGTGTATACAAAAGTTTTTGTTTAATATATAAGAAAAAACTTCGGCCTACACGGATTTCTAACATTTCTTATGTTACGTACATTCCTAAATTGAATTTAAAGGTAATTTTGCATTTGGGACATTGCAAAAAACTGTAAATTTATCGATCACAAGCTTTCTGTTAAGCCTTAATATTGTAATTAGCTTTTAGGCCTTAAGTTTATGCCCTAATATGTTTTTAGGTTGTATATATATGAACCTTGTCATACAGAAATACAAACTAAGGAAAATCAATTCCTGACACTTTCCTAATCAAGATTTAAGCTTGATGATTTAAAGCATAACACTGATTGCTTATAAATCGGAGTAATACATCGTTCAATCTTGCAGGTGCCTCATCAAATTCTTTTCCTGATTAGTGAAAATCGCGTGCATGAAATGCACCATTGGATTTTTATTTATTTTTTTCATTTTTGAAAATAAAAACAAAAATTACAATAGACTTTGCATGCTTCCAAATTACGCACGTACAAAGAGATACACCTCATTAAAACTAGCTCCCACAAAAAATCGGGCAATAATACATCTTAATTTTCATAATATATTTACATTAGCTTCA